ATGACAAACATTTGAATTCAAACAGCAGTGAAATTGGAGAGAGATCATATTTTTGATTCTACAAACTATAAATAGAGGAACTAAAATCTGAACTTGCTGTAGATGATAGAACTCTGAGTGAAAAAGTAGAATTTAAATATCACGTTCACTGTCTCAGGAAAAAAATGGTCGTAAGTTAGAGAATACATCATATTAAATATATTCAAGTAGGTAAGGAAGAAGAAGTAATGGGGGATCTTGAGTCTCAGGGTTGGGAATGATTTAATGTCATGGAATTCACAGAGTTCTCTGCAGAAGGCGGGGGAGAGGAGTAAAGAATATAATTGCTGACCAGGGAAAGGGGTTAATCTCAGCCATCATCAGACCAAGAGAAGATAAATCTACAAAACCCTAAAAGCCCAGGCAGCTCACAGCCATCCTTCAGGTCGGTCAGATCCCTTTTCTGTCTGTCCCATATGTCAATAGTGCTCTCTCTCCTGTCAAAAACAGGGATATTTCCAGAGTGTGGGATCCAAGCGGCAGCAGCTACCCCCACCGCAGCGGCTTCCCTCTCTCCCAAGGCTGCTGGGGTTAGACATGTGTTTTTTTCAATGAGACTGGGCCCCACGGGACACTAGGTTATATGTAGGTTACATTTGAGTTATATTTGAGTCTCAGATAGGGCTAAATCTGAAATACTCTTTGTCCATAAATAGACTTGTGTCGATAAAGATTTAGATTAAAAATATACTTAAAGCCCCGGCCAGTGTTGCTCAGTATGGCCAGCATTGTCCCATGCAACTGGTTCAATTCCCAGTCAGGGCACATACCTAGGTTTCGGATTCGATCTCTGGTGGGGCTCATACTGGAGGAAACCGGTTGCTGTTTCTCTCATATCAATATTTCTCTCTCTCTCTCTCTCTCTCTCTCTCTCTCTCTCCCTCCCCCTCCCTCCTTCTCTCTCTCTCTCTCTCTCTCTCTCTCTCTCTCTTTCTCTCCGAAAATCAATAAAAACATATCTTCCAGTGAGAATATTTTAAAAATGTATTTAAATATTCCCAAATAATTAATGTATCTGTGCAAATATGCAGGCCCGTCTTGCAGCAACTTGAATCCACTGTTCTTCCTTCCTCTTTATTTTAATAATGAGGTGTTTCCAGAATGCAGAAAACTATAAAGAATTTTATAGCGAACTTGCAGGTACCTATCAGCCAATTCAAAGTGTAACATCTTCCTTATTTGCCTGAGCACCTTGCTTTGAATTTTTAAAAAACAATGAAAATATTTCAGGTGCAGATGAAATCCCAGTGCCCTCTCTCCCAAGCCCAGTCCCCATTATCCTTCCCTGTAAGTAATCACCAGCGTGAATCTGGCGTTTATCATTCCGTGTATGTTTTTATAGTTTGACAACAAAGGCATGAATTCCTAAACAACATATATATATATATATATATATATATATATATATATATATGAAAATATTTTAACCTTTTATAAAATAGCAACATACTGCATATAGCCTTCTGCAATTTGCCTTTTTTTTTTTTACTTAACATTGTATTTTTAAAGTTGTCTGTTTTGTGACATTAAACTTCATCCATTGCATGTGAAAGGCATGTTACTAATCAAATAGCAGGGCTCTGAGTCGGTAGATCTCATGGCCCAGCAATACTCACAATCTCTTTCTCACCTCCCCGCCCCCCCCCCCCAGTCTTTCATTTCCCTCATATTTATTCTTACCTCCTCCTACTCAGAACTCCACTCAGATTCTCTCACCCCATCTCCTTCCCCATAACTCTTTCCTCACCATAAGTGTCATCTTTCCCACTTACATTTACTTGCAGCTACCCTGATATGTAGGCTTATTTTTTTAAATATATTTTTATTGATTTCAGAGAGGAAGGGAGAAGGAGAGATAGAAAGATGAATGATGAGAGAGAATCATTGATCGGCTGCCTCCTGCATGCCCCACACTGGGGATAGAGCCCACAACCCAGGCATGTGCCCTGACTGGGAATCTAACCGTGACCTCCTGGGTCACAGGTTGATGCTCAACCACTGAGCCATCCTGGCTGGGCTGTAGGCGTATTTTGCCTTAAACCCTGGGCAGGTGAACAGAGGCAACACTATCCACCTGTCCAAAAAGATAAGAAGGGTAGATAAGCAGGTGGTGACAGAGCATCCCAGTGAATCTGGACCAGGCCTGGGGACCTGCTGGGCACCCCGGCCAGAGGCGGAGGAGAAGGAACATGGAGGGTGCTCCCTGGAGGCACCAAAGGGAAATGAACTCCAGAAAAGAGTAGAAAACCAAGACTGGAATCCCAAGGAGATCATGTGCCAGTGCCACATCCACGGGGTCGGAGGCAGGACCGAAGTCAGCCTGGCAGGGCCACGTTGACCTTGTGTTTGGTTCTATCAGTATGTGGCTCATGCAGGTGCCAGCAGCTGAGCCGAGAGCGGCCAACACAGGCAGACAGACAGCAGGAGGGTCGGAGAAAAGGTGGTGGCAGAAGGAGACGCCATGGGAGTGGTTGAGGCGTGGGTTCGTAAGTAGCAAAACTGGCAGAGACTGTTGGGCGGAACCAGGCCCCAGGAATGACAGGAAGGCTGGCACAGGTGAGTGTCAGCTGCTGAGCAGGACGGACCAGGTTGGCCAGAACTAGAGCTGAAGTCGTGTTGGGCTTTGACTCAGGTGGAGGAGTTAGGAGAGAGTAGAAGAGATGCAGTAGCAAGCCAAGGCAGTGAATGGTCAGCGTGAAGCGAGACAGGGCAGGCCAGATGGCTGATGCTGTGGAGCCAACTTTCCGGCTGCAATCCAAGAACCAAAATAAACGTTAAGTCCAGCCTGGGGTGTAGCTCAGTGGTGGAGCATCGACTTATGAACCAGGAGGTCAGGGTTCGATCCCTAGTCAGGGCACATGCCAGGGTTGTGGGCTCGATCCCCAGTGTGGGGCGTGTAGGAGGCAGCCGATCAATGAGTCTCTCTCATCATTGGTGTTTCTATCTCTCTCTCCCTCTCCCTTCCTCTCTAAAATCAATAAAAACATATTAAAAATCAAAACAAAATGTTAAGTCCATTTAAGTCAAGGCCAATTTTAATCTGTGCTTTGCTGGTGATACAGGACCTGTAGCTGTATCAATAATGCCCATGCGAAACCCACTCTGAAGTGGGGGCAATTGTCTCTGTTACTATTAGTCTGGCTAGGTTCAACCAAAAGGAAAAGATGAAGGCGGAACCACTCAACACTATATTTTTAAACTGATGCACATTAATCCAGTTTAGGGGATCTTGAGGAAATGTAACTGACAGTGTTGAAATTCACAGAACTTTTCATTGAGACTTCATTTTCCAGGAATAGCATTTCAGTTAGTCACATTTTTATCTTCCACTAAAGTGTACATTTAATTTAGTAGAAATAACTACCAGTTGAATACTAATATAATCTTGTTCTGTATACACAAAATAAAGAAGATGATTATGCATCAAGACTGAATCAAACATAGGTTAAAGTCTTTGGCTAAGAACAAACAATGGGCAAATTCTTAAGTTAGAATTTGTAATTCCATTGTGAATTTAACTAACTTGTTAGTGTAACTAAGAATGTCAGCACATAAAAAAGATAACCCTGGGCCTGGCCGGGTAGCTCAGTGGGTTAGAGCATCATCCTAATATGCCAAGGTTGCGGGATCCATCCCTAGTCAGGGCACATACAAGAATCAATCAATGAATGCATAAATAAGAGGAACAACAAGTCAGTGTTTCTTTCACTCTTTCTCCCTTCCTCTATCTCTTTAAATCCATAAATAAATAATTTTTTTAAAAAGATAACCCTGCCAGGCCAGTGTGGCTTGGCGGTTGAGTGTCAACCTATGAACCAGGAGGTCATGGTTCAATTCCTGGTCAGGGCACAATGCCTAGGTTGTGGGCTTGATCCTCAGTAGGGGGTGTGCAGGAGGCAACCAATAAATGATTCTCTCTCATCATTGGTGTTTCTATCTCTCCCTTCTATTCTCTGAAATTAATAAAGACATATTTTTTTAAATGATAACTGGGTCTCAGTTGTAGCTATAGATTGTAAATTTTGTGTCAGATCAAATTTTTGCCAACAGATACTAATGACTTTACTGAAAACGGGATAGTTAGAATGGAATTGAAAGTGTAAACACACCTAAGTCCATAATGATGTTAGCAAATAACTTCCTTATTATGATATTAGCAAATATTCAGTCTTTAAAATGATCCCTGATATATTCAACAGTTATCACAGAAGCATAATTTTTTAAATGATTTGTCCATGGACATAAGACACTGGGGGGTAGGGGAGGCCAGGGGATTGTCAAGGGCGGGGGGAAAAAAAGGACACATATGTAATACCCTTTGTAATACTTTAAGCAATAAAAAAATTATCTAATTAAAAAAGTAAAATAATTTTTAAAAGAATGATAAAATAAATAAATAAATGATTTGTCCAAAGTTTCTATTCATCCATCCTAGCAATAGAGCCAAGTGTCTGAGATACAACAGCTGCCCTGGGAATCTTGTCCAGCGAGCAAGCTCACTGCTATCCACAGTTATATCTGGTCTTTCCCACCCCCAAGCACACACAGAAGATTGTTGTCATTCTTGGCACCGGGCAGTAGAAGTAGCAAGACATGCGGGCCAGGCGCCAGAGGCGGAATGTCCCTCCACCTGTTTTGTGCTGTAAGACAGACTTCCAGGGGCGAGGCGGTCGGGGGGCTGTGTCCTGGAGCGGCAGCTGAATGCGCCAGCAGGACCCTTGGCAGCAGGGCCTGGGCACTGAGGCTGGGCATTCAGGAGAGCTAAATGCAGAAAAGAAACTTGAGCAAACTGCTTCCTGGTATGCTGAGGACCTGAATGGGAAATGAAGACGTACCAGATTCTCGCTGTTCTTACACAGCCAAGGTCAGGTTTCCAACTCCGATTTATTCTGATATTTCCGCCCAAAAGTGCTTATGGCAATGTACAAAGGCAATAAAAACTCTCTTTTTTTTTCTTTTAGAAAAGTGTTACTGCTGTGTTCCGCTCTCGCTTGCAAAGTTCCCCCCTCCCAAAGTAACAGCTTCATACCACAGTCCAGCACACCCATGGCGGAGCGGTTCCTCTAGGAAGACGGGTGACTTATTCTAAATCTCCAAGGGACAGCTCCTTAGGTGGGAGGGCGGAATGTGCCAGCGCGCTTGTTGACCATGTCCCGTGCGATGTCATGTGAACAAAAAGCTGGGGCTAAAGTCTGGCCTCTCCAGCCTGGCACACACAAACCCCGCCACTCAGCGGGCCCCCTGGCCTGGGAGAACTTGTGGCAGGAAGGGCTCCTCCAGACTTGAGCACGCATTACCTGAGGAGGTGGGCAGGCAGCAGGAGGGGGAGCAGGCGCAGGCTGTTGTGAATTTTGTGCTGTGTGCCCATTGCCTTCTGGAACCCGGGATTACAACCTAGAAGCCTAGCAGTTTGGGAGAATTCCTGCAGCAACTTTCAGTTTTTCAGGAAGCACAAAAGTAATTGTTTACTCAAAATGAAACCTCAAGGATGACTTTTAGTTAGAAAAAAAAAATCTTGACTCTGGCTTCCTCTTAAGAAAATAAATTCGTTATTATGGAACAAATGTGTTTGCCTGTAAACAAAGTCTTTCAAAACAGACCTTCTATGGGGACAGTCCTTTTAAAAGGGGTTTTCAGTGGGAAGTGGAATAAGACATACTGTCCTAGAGAAGTGTTTAAGGGGTGTAATTTTCCCAATTATTTTCATTAAAAACTGACAAACAGTGGCTAACCTCCCATTATACTCCGCATCTAATTCATGGAAGTCCTGGAGACTTGGAAAGACTGCCCGGGAGAGGCCATGGAAAGTTCCAGGCCTCTGCGTCCGCAGGGACTTCCTTGCGGAGTGTCCCGGATCCGAGACCTTGCCTCTTGGCCCGGGCTGCAGGGAATGGTAGCAACCAGTAGAGGCAGACCTTGCTGGGCTGGGAGCTGGGAGCGCTGTCATGGAGCCTGAGCCCCGTCCTGGAGCCTGAGCCCCGTCCTGGAGCCTGAGTCCTGTCCTGGAGCTGGGAGTCCTATCCTGGAGCCTGAGCCCCGTCCTGGAGCCTGAACCCCGTCCTGGAGCTGGGAGCCTGAGCCCCATCCTGGAGTGGCAGATCCTCTAGAGCCCAGGCAGAGCGTGCACCTCACTTCCACGGGGTCGAGAAATGTGGACAACAGCATCTATTACCAATCTCCCTCATTTTGTTGGCAAGAACAAGTGAGCTGTTTCAATGGGCACAGAAGTGCATTTGCTCATTAAACCGGCAGCACTGCTCAGAGACCTATCCTATGCTGGTTGTGTGCTCAGTGCTGCGGTGTAAAGGTGAAGGAGACTCATGGGCCCACAGTCAGGACTGTCCAAAACTGACGTAGGTAAATCATTCTGGACAACAACCCAGCTGGGACCCGGGTTCCTCCCCCTCCCACCAGGGGTGTTGCACCCAAACTTTGCAAGGGACCCGTGTCTCCCTTCCATAGGACCCAAGAACCCCGGGTGCTGGACAGGGAAATCCTGTAAGAAGCTAACACCCAGCCCCAGACTGGATGATTCCAAGAAGTCCGACCACATCCTACCAGCCACGTCTTTCTCATCCGCAGGTATCAGCACCGCGACCAGACACGATACACCTGCTTGCCTCTGTGGATACGGTTGGGACCTTTTGTGACTTGGAGTGTAGCCCCAAGTGTAGTTGCTGGGATGGCTAAGAACCGAGGAGGCATGAGGGATGGTGCTAGGACTCTGGTTTTAGGACTTGGTGTTAGGCCCCAGTGCTTAGATGGGGGAGGCCCAGAAAGTAGGGAAACATCACACAAATCTTCCTCTCAGTCCTAAGCATCGCTGCTTCAGATCCCAGGTGACACAGCAGAGCCCAGAGCACAGGAAGAGGCCCTCCCCTGTCTGGCCATGCTGCTCTGACCCCCGCAGCAGTGACAGCCCTGCCGTTGTCCACGGGGCCGCGCAGGAAGCAGGCCTGACGGAGCCAGAGCAGGAGAAAGGAGCAGGCGAATCTGAGGTTACAGCAGTGGGTGTGTGAGCAAGAATGACACATCCTGCTGGGGACGCCCAGAAGCGGCTAGAGGACACAGAGGTCGAGCGAGCGGAGGTCTGTTGTTACCTCTATAACTTGGACGTCCAAGGAAAGGGGGCCTGATTCACGGAGTCCGGGAGACCTGGACATGCCGTAGCCGAACTGTAGTTGCAATTAATAGGCTAGTGTATAAGTCACCTAGCCCACAGAGTAATGGTGGCTTACAATAAAACAGGAGAATATTGCCATTGCCCAGACTGAGACACAGGCCAAAGAATCTGTATTAGGTTATGCAAAAAGAGAATAATACAGAACGTGAGAAGAATGAAACTTGCTTCATGGGTAGTTTTTTACCACAGTCCCAGCATGTTTTTCCAAGAACTCGGGAGGAAATATGGATGAAAAATAAATGGAGGACTTGTCTTGGGCATTTCCACTGTACTTAAGACTGAGAAAATGTCAGTACCAGTCCAAGGATGAGGGGTGGATGGACGTGGGTACTTTGGGACCACTGCTGAGCCCAGGGTGTCCTTAGCTTTTGAGCCATTTCCAAACCAGTCCTGTCAACTCCCACAGGACACATGGCTCCCTCTCCTCCAAGTAAGAGCCACCTGGGGTGCAGACGATGGGTCGCACATGTCAGAAGGCATGGCTACAGCCCTGGAAAACCCTCCAGCCCTCTGGCATCCCACTGTGGGTTCAGATGAGAAACAGCTTCCAGCCAGCTCTCTATTGTGAGAGCAGCTTCCCTGAGAACAGAAGCAGGGGAGCACTCAGCGGCAGCCCAGCATTGCCATCCCACAGCATTGCCATCCCACACTGTTTGTCCACTTCCCTCTCGCAACTACGCTTTCTCTCTCATCCTCCGGCTCTCGGCTGGTAAGTGACGTCCTCAGGAAAGCCTTCCCTGACTAGGCTAGCCTTTCGTTGCCCTCTTTACTTCCTCATACGTACCATTAGTTAAAATTGAAATAATTGTGTGCTGAACTACTGTAGGCAATACGGACCAGGATCGTGCCCATATTGTTCACCAATGGACCCTCGGTGCCTGGCACGTGGTAAATAAAAAGTATTTGTTGCATGAACGAAAGTTGACGACATCTGCAGAGCTTCCCTACATGGCCTAAGGCTTCAGCTAATGCACTTGATGTTTCGCCTCATTTGTCCCACTTCTGCAATAAATATTTTATTGTTCTTAATCCTCACCTGAGATATTTTTTCCACTGATTTTTAGAGAGAGTGGAAAGGAGGAGGGAGGGAGGGAGAGAGAGAGGGAGGAAGGGAAGGAGGGAGAGATAGAAACGAGAGAGAGAGAGAGAGAGAGAGAGAGAGAGAGAGAGAGAGAGAAACATCAGTGTGAGAGAGGGACATTGATTGGTTGCCTCCTGCATGCCAATTGAACCTGCAACCCAGGTACATGCCCTTGTCTGGAAATTGAATCCGTGACCCTTAGGTGCACAGGCCACTGTCCAAACCACCGAGAAACACTGGGCAAGGCTGCTATAAATATTGTTTTAATATTATATAAGCAATAAGTGAGTACATGATCTCTAAAATATTCAAACAACACATACACATAAATATGAAAGTGATGGTCTTATATATGTAAATTATGCCACAGTCAAGCTATTTTTAAAAAGGTGTAACACATTCAGAGTGTTTTGGTGAGAGTCTAATCAGAAGGCAGAGGCAGTGATAGATGTTGCAGAGGGAGTTTAATACAGGTCATGGACGAGGTGAGAGGCCAGAGATAGCCCACCATCAACCTGAGGCTCAAGGGACGAAGGAGAAGGCAGTGTTACTGGAGCCCCAGTGCTGACGCTGTACAGCAGGGCTGGGGACATAGACAAGATGCTGCCTGACACCATCAGAAGCAGAGAAGGGGAGAAATAGCCTGGCTTCTCCCCTCCTCTCATTCTCAGTGTTCCACCACGGGCCAGCTCTGTAAAGGCATCTAGGAAACAGCTCCCAGGGATGCACAGCCCAGATTGAGGGTGGCAGAGAATAGATCTGAGAGCAAACGGACAAAAACCCAGCAGGTGCAGTTTAAAATAAAATACATAAATAGCATCAGGATGTATGCAGTGTTCTAAATGTATCACATCATTTTTACAGGGATGAAATCGAGCTAAAATGCCGCGGAGAGCAGCTTGATTCACCGAATCTGGTACAGCAGCGGAGCACAGAGGGGGGCAGCAGCAGAGAGGTGTGTGCAGGAGAAACGCACTTCCGGCGGAAGGAAAGGCGGGTCACAGTGGTAGCTCAGAGGACAGGTGTGGGTGCAGGTCTGGTTCCAAGGCAGCCAGGCCAGGCCTGCTCAGCGATGAGTGGGAAGGGAGCAGGGTCATGGCCAAGGAGTCAGAGATTTTAGACCTCAGAACTCAGGTTTCAACTCATGACTTCTGCAAATGAGGAACCAAAACGCAGAGAAGTGATGGGGGAGGACCCAGCAGCCCATTTCTTGACATCTTTTGCTCCCTGGGGCCTGGCAGGGGAGGCTTGGAGGACAGTTGAGCACCAAGCAGCCCTGCAGAGAAGCTCTGGCGAGAAAGGAGGGGCTCTAGAAGCGGCTGCTCCGCACAACCTGGTTTGTAGTGTGTGGGCGCCTGGCATGTCTTACAGAGGGATGCGCCAAAGGACACCTTTTCCTTAGGAGCTCCTCTAGCCTCCAGAGTCTGGATTTAATGGCCTTTGGCAAAACTGTGGAACCTCCAGCATGTGCTAGACACAAAGATGAATAATGTGTTAAGGCACGAGCCTGGGCTTCCAGGAGTTCTCAGTCTCACGGGGGATCAGGAGCGATCCAGATGATTATGCTGCAACATGGTAAATATAATGAGATCTGTGGCATGGAGGAGGAGTGAGTCATTGCTGGGGGAGCGCAGCTCAGATGCGGGCACAGAGAAGGCTGCACAAGGGGGACATTAGAGAAGGTATAGAAGGAGGACTAGGAGCTCCAACTCCAATTTTAAAACAGCAGCATTAACCAGCCTTGCCTGAAACACCACTGTTATTCCTCAACGATTTACAAAGCAACCATTCTTGCCCTACTTACCCTACTTCCATGTGCAATGGAAACCACACATACCTAACATTTTTTAAAATGACAGATAAAATGAATCCACTGGCCCCATGCATCAGGATCAGCAGGGCCAGATTGACCTTCAGAGACCAAAAAGATGATGATGATCCCCATGCGTAGTTTTTGATTGAATATATTGGGATGACATTGGTTAAGAAAATCATACAGGTTTCAGGTGTGCAAGTCTACACCATCTGTATATTGTTCCCCACGTGTACTTTAATATGAAAGCTGTGCCCTCAGGTGCCCCTGAGGAAGTCCAGCAAAGTTTTGTCTCTTCCCACACACCTCCTTTTATATGTTTTTGCAACTATCAAAGAGCCCACCATTACCCACATAATGTTTTTCTCATCCTTTGGGTGCCCCTAGCATTGGGGGTGCCCCACACATGTGTTGGCTGGCCTGCAGGTGATCCTGCCCTGAGGGGGCAGCCCCTTTGCACCCCACCAAGACACCCAGCTGAGGCTGTCCTCAACAAGTTCATGGTCCTATTTTTAACCAAGTGGACTTAGACCTGTCCCTTCACTTCCCCACATAGCACATGCACTGCGATTCTGATCTTTATCTCTTTCTGTCAATACTCTCACCTTGCAACTCAGGAAGGTCATCTGAAGGCCTGGGGGCCTGGTTAACCGTAAAGGAAGGCTGACGTGAGAAACGATTTCCTTGTACTGGCTTCAGCAGCTCGCAGCAAGAGGAAGCCATGTCACAGCGGAGTGGTGAGGAACACGGACAGGCTTTTGAAATAGACGTGGCTGGTTCGACTGTGGCCTTTCATTTGGCCCGTGATCTTGGGCAAGTTACTTTACACTGCTAAGCCCAAGCTTTATCCTCTATAGAATGTGGCCATTCTACAGAGGTCGTTCTTCCAACCAACGTCAGATATATTCCTACCAAGTGCCAGGCACTATTATTGAAAAGAGAGAGAGCAGTGAACGAACAAAGATTCCTGTCCTACATAGAGCTACATTCCAGTGGAAGATGACAACAAAAATGAACAAGTAGATTACATATTATGTTAGAAAGGAAAGGGGCTGGGCAGTGTTGGCAGGTTCTGTTTCAGATGGACTGACCAGAAGAGGTGATTGTGATGTAGCAGCAGGTGGACATGCAGGGGGGCAGCCTTCCAGACAGAGGGACACCCTGAGGCAGAAGCAGATCAAGTATGTTTGAGGAACAGTGCGTCTGCCAGGGAGGGTGGGGACATGTGGAGGGAAATGAGGTCAGAGAGTGAGAGCCAGGGAGTGGCATCTCTGACTCACATTTGAATGGGATCACTGGGCTGCTGGGTTGAGGACAGGCTTAGGAGGGCGAGGGAGGAAACCAGTTAGGAAGCCATTGCAGTGAGCCAGGTGAGAGATGAAGTATGGGATGTCCTTAATGTGGTGCCTGACATGAACCAAGTCTGGGACCTGAATCCACACAGAGGGAAGATCTGTCAGGGAAGACCTCAGCTTGGTTCTTCCTGCAACTTTCTCAGCCATCCGTCTACTGCCGTCATCACGTCTTCCTACCACTCTGCTCTGGATCTTCTTCCCCCTTCCCTCTCTCTCTGCCTCCTGCTCAGTCTTCTGTCTGCCCTTTCTT